AGAAAAGGACTGGCAAAAAAAAAAAAAGGGAAACGTTCAGGAAAACATCAAACCAGTGTGTCCCAGTCCGCAGCCCCGGGAACCACGCGGCTAAGAGAGAGCCAGGTGGGAGAAATTTCTTTATTTACACATGGAAAAGGCTCCCACAGCACGTCGTTACTTCAGAGGAATGAACCTGGAAGAGTGGGTGGCACCGATGCCAGGCCGGCCGTGCTTCACCGGCTTGTAAGTGATGGAGAATTCTGCCAGGTAGTGACCGATCATCTCAGGCTGGAAGGGAAAGGAGAGATCCGTGTTGGAGGCAGCGACCCGGGCTGGGGCACAGACCACCCGCCTCCCCCCAGACCACCCCCCGCAGCAGGCTGGGGGCAGTTACAACCTTCATCCCTGGCAGAAGTCCCTGCCTATGGCACCACCGCCATGCCCGGGCACTGCCGGTTTCACGCAGAGCCAGAGGGGTTCAGTGTGATGAGGGGCTTCCTCTGCCCCTCCTGGGACACAGAAGCCTCGGGGGCTCCTGGTGCACTTTCAGGCTGGATTTAATGCCAGGTCCAAGTGGAAAACATCACCTAATCCCATCCGGGGAATCAGGTCACACCACCCACCCCACAGGATATTCCACTCCAAGGAAACCTCACGGATCCATTTCATTGGAAGCTGGTGCCGGTGGGCAGCGAGCCAGGGCCGGGCATGACCAACGCGCGATCCCGACCCACCGCAGGCAGCGGCGCACGCGCTCACAAAGCCGCGTTGGTTTGTTACTGGAAATGGCACTGGAGCCTGGAGACCCCCCTGCGAGCGGCCCCGCCGCAGGCTGGACACTTCCAGGTGTCCCTCCAGGACAGCTCTGCTCCGAGCAGGAGCCTCCACCTCTCCCGAGACGCACGGCAGGGAGGAGCATCCAGGCCAGGCTGGATGGGGCTTTGGGCAACCTGGCGTAGTGGAGGGTGTCCCTGCCCATGGCAGGGGGGTTGGAACTGGATGATCTTTGAGGTCCTTCCCAACCCAAACCATTCCATGATCCTATGATTACACAAAGCGTTAAAAAAACCCAACGCAGACGCATTCCGGGTGCTGAGCTCGGATCAGGACGCAGCTCTGCGGGCGCTGCCGCGCCGCCTCACCTTGATCTCCACCTGGTTGAAGGTCTTGCCGTTGTAGACGCCCACCATGCTGCCCACCATCTCGGGGAGGATGATCATGTCCCGCAGGTGGGTCTTCACCACCTCCGGCTTCTCCATGGGCGGCGCCTCCTTCTTGGCCTTCCGCAGGCGCTTCAGCAGCGAGTGCTGCTTGCGGCGCAGCCCGCGGTTCAGGCGCCGGCGCTGCCGCGCGCTGTACAGCTGCATCAGCTGCTCGCTGCGGGGGCACGGGGGGTCAGCCCGGGG